TCAAGCACAACATGACGACCATTTGTTGCAGGAAACAGTAACAAAATAAAAGCAGTTAAAACAACAATTCATGCTATCGAAGAAACAGCAGTTCAATTTCAGCTTATTACACAAAAGTGTATTGAATTTTGTAGTCGAAAAAAAATTCCCTAAACGCAGACGTTGCAGCGCTGTTGTACGAACAATTTATACAAGCAGGCAGCAAACACTCATACCTGTGTGCCTAATATTTCTACTACGTCTTTGAGTGTGTATCACAGTGCGCGCTTATTGGTATGTAACAGCTTCTACATATGCACTCGAGCGCAAAAGCGTACAACTACATGCGGACGCGCTGCATAGCGAATACGAATTGCGCGCAACAACTAAAGAAGCAGCACACACGCATACATACCTATGTATGTACATACATACAGGCAATAATTTCACTCAATACGCTCGTAAGCGGAATTGAAAAGGATATGTGAAGAGTAAGGGCTGTAAAAAAGGGCTTACAAAACAAGGAAATAAATGTATGAACGAGTAGAATGAGTCTTAACTCCCACTGCAATTTGCTGACGGGGCGTATGAGCAACTGAAGTAGGAAAGGTCAACTCACACGCCACCTATGCATAGCAATGTACAAATGCATGCATGTTTGCTTGTAGCTTAAATGTAGTTGATTTTGAGTTATAAAGAAGTCGGTATGAAATTGCAGGTGCTGCGATTAGAACAAAAAAAAAACAGCTAGTCAAGCAGTTGTATCTCCCTGAAGACACTATTCGCTACGTGCATCCAATACTAAACACATGCTGCATAAACTATGAAATAACAGGAGCTTGTATATGCGTCATTGCATACATAGAGTGCGAGGTGGTAACAGCTGCGAGAGCATAGAAATGCAAGTCCATACAAGCGAAAGATTATATCAATACGAATTTATATATACATACATATGTATTTTTTGTGCATAAATAATAGAACTAGGGTAACCCTTAATGGGAGGCATATTCAAAATACTAATTTACTTGGTCTTATTTACTATGCCAATATCTCAGCAGTTGACAATTTACATTTTAGTTTAACATAGGGTTGCCACGGACAATTTAATAAAAAAAATATGGCAAAAATTGGAAAAAATGTTTACTTGAAATCTGATAAGTTTGATATTTTATTAAATCTTATTCATATAAGATCATATAATCGCTGAGTTATAGCAAAGTAAACTTTTGTAGTAAACATTTTGAGTTTTGAAAAAAAGGTAAATTTCTTTAGCGAATCCTAAAATTTTTTTGTGTCGTAAATTTGTCGTAGATGTCTTAATTTTTTATGTAGAACAATATAAAGGGGTGCCACATGATGAGGATGTTTCTTCATTGGCAAGTCTACATATTTGAGATGCTTGGATTTTTTTTAGATGCGAGGCAATTCTAAATAACAAAAATATGATAACAAATACCATTTGATTGATTGAAATATTTTAAAATTTTATCTAAGGGCCATTCCATTGGGACTGGTGGGACATTTTACTCCAGAATGTAATCAATTGTGAATTATAACTATGTCGTCGGAACTTATACAACAGCGAAAGATATTTTTAAACATAGAACGATAACTAGTGTAAAAAATTGCCTTAACAAAAATACCAAACGCTTTCTTAGTTATATGTAACTGTCATTTGAATGAGTGTGACTGGTGGGACAGTGAAAACAACTCTAGTTTACCCTTGTGCACGCAAAGATGAATTTTAGCCAAAATACTTAATTTATATAATTTATATAATCTTCACAGAAATATTAAAAAATATTTAAAATTGTAACTGATACGATCTTTGTGCCTGGTGTAAAGTAATTATGCATCAAATCAGAGTTTCCATAGACAAAATTACAACTAATTTTTATTTTTTTAATATTTTTCAATAATATTTTAGTAATATTTAATTTAAGAAGAGGTTACTACTGAAATAGAGAAAATTAGGGCATATTTAAATTTAAGTCGTTTTCCTCTTTTACATGGAATGACCGCTAACCTTAACACAATAATTTTAAATTCTTACATATCTGGCAACTCTATTAAATATTATTTCTGAAAACGTTCTCAAGACTTCCATCGACAGTTTTAATATTTTGCTTAAATTATAAAAGTAATAGTATAACTACTTATTTATTTGCAATATATGAATTAAAAGTAAAAAATACGGCAACCATAATGTAAATTTTTTATTTTAGAAAATTCTCAAAACTCGATTTTTGATACAATATTGCAATATTTTTTACTTAATAAATAAACTAAATTTATTTTTAATCAGATGGCAACTCTAACAAAGTTTTTTTGGTGAAAGTATATTTAAAAAGTTTCTATGGAGGCCAGTAATGCAATATTTTTTTTAAGCAATATTAATTAATTAATTTTTAAAACATCTGATATTTGGCGCCCTTTTAAGAAATATTTAGTATTTTCTCCAAAACCTTGTTATTCTTGAAAAGCTTTCACTAGAGGCTCGAAATACAATAACTTGTTTGATGATCACATTTAACAAGTTTTTAAAATTTAAGATATTTGGCAACCCTATTCGAAAGTATTTAGCATTTACTTTGAATCCTTTCGGTTAATACAAAAAAATATTATACACAAATTTCAATGAATTTTAACCAATTTTACTTTTTCTACGATGTTGTCGACTCTATTCAAAATATTTCATGACGAAATTATTATTCCATTTAACAACAAATCTGCAACAACTTATATAACGTATGCGCATATCTAACTCATTTACATATGTTCGGTATGGGACAACCCTATTCAGAAATATAACAGTATTAAAATCCTTTTAAAATCTTTCTACCTTTCCTACTGTTTGAAAGATGGAACGATTTGGTGGTCTTTGGATTTGTTATGTGTTTATTTCTCTACGATTGCTTAAACTGAGGACACCCCTAACATACATGCAAGCGCCTTAACAATTACATTCGAGCATTTTTAAATTCCTATTCACCAAAGTATCGTCAACAAGGCCACCTTTGCATGGCTGTTGCATTCAATTGGTTTACCATTCCGTGCATTTGAGCTCAATGTGAGTATGCTTGAACGTTTCTTTGTAAGTACGTATGTATGTAGACATGCTTGGCAAACATAATTCGCCTTCTGACATCTAACTACTTTTGTTAAATTCCTTTGGATTATTTTTATTTTTATTTTTGGTCTGAATTCCGAGCGGATATCAAATATTTTGCTGCGTCAGAAGATTGGTGTCAACACTATTTCCGTGCTTTTACACACTCACATAAAAAATAATATTTAGTTATTTCTGAAGGTAAATATTGCTAGGATGCTACTTCCGTTCGATTAAAAATGTAACGTTCATCAGAACGCTTGGGACCTGAAATATCTAAGCAATCTGAGCAATTTTAAGTGAGAAGGTGCGACCGATCTGTCGTGTTTGGCTTAAAATTCATTATGTGCTGAGCTATGAGCATAATTATAATAATAATAGATTGGCGCTTACACATATTTTAGTGTTTGGCCGAGCTTCTCCTCCGATTTGTGGCGTGCGCCTTGATGTTGTCACACAAAGCGGAGGGACCTACAGTTTTACGCCGACTCCGAACGGCGATTGTATTTTTATGAGAAGCTATTTTTCATGGCAGAAATACACTCGGAGGTTTGCCATTGCCTGCCGAGGGACGACCGCTGTTAAGAAAAAACCTTTTTCTATATTTTTTGCGATGTTGTTTTGACCAGGGTTTGAACCCAGGTGCTGCGGAGTGGAAGCGCGCACTGCTTACCACTACACCACAGCGGCCGACGAGCTATGAGCATGTCTACTTAAAATTCATTCTAATGAAAGCATTTCTACCCAAACTTTAAAAATCTTTGAATGAGACTGTAGCATTGTATTTCGCAACCAACCCTTAGCTCCGATTCCAGCAACTCCTCATCGGATATCAATGATCAACATGATTTTATTTCCCGAATCTCCTTGTAGTACTGTGGTAGGAGGTGGATAGTTACTACAGCGCATGCGTCGCTGCTGAAGAGAAATACGTAGATTACAAATCCGCCCTGGGGGAAATAGTTACGTCAGCAATAATTAGGCGATATTTATTCAAGAAGAAGAAGAGAATACATCCTTGCATTGGGAAGAAAATGCGAAGAGCTTAAAATATTGGCGGACAGGAATGCGGTCCGGTTTTTAAAACCGTTCATGGTGCCTATTGAGATGAGAATGAAAGTCTTGTGACAGAGTATGCTTAGGATAATAAACGCTAATGAAAACCACACAGAAATGTATAACGATAAATTGTATAACCTTTTGTTTGATCAAGATGAGCTGAGTACAAAAATAGAGCGTCGAAAAAAACAAAATAGTCTCATACCAGCTGAGCTGATCAATGATTTGAAAGAGCGCATGCACCAGTTGTTGCAAGTAATTGGAGAATACCGTGAAAAAATGGCAGCTATCTTCCATTCAAAATAATTCTTGGTATTAAATAATATTAATTATGTTTTTTTACACATCGTTACCTTAAAAGAGTAAAGCCCTAATTTTCATTCAAAATTCAGCTCTGCACAGAAGTCGGTAGTTTACTCACTAAAGACTTAATCGAATTCAAAATCAACTACTATATAAACAAGGATTAGTCCGGCGCAGCCAGAGCCGCTAAACTTAAACTTAGAATACGTGATAATATTAAGAGCACATTCAGGTTAAAAACTGCACATTCCTTTTGATTTTATTGGATTGAATTTTTAACCCTGTTGCTCTTTAGCAACGTAAAAGGGTGTGTTTGAGTATATTTAATTGAATAAGTAAAGCAAAATTTAAGGTAATACAAATTATTCCGAGTTTATTCAAAAATGGGAAAATATAGTGGACTGTAGGTTAAATTGAATTTAATAAACTGGTCTAGTCGACGATTCGATTGCGAGTGCTCCGTTGCCGGTGTACGGGTGCCGAGAGCTCACATTCGGAAAAAGTACATATTTGAATTCTAGTACAGTTTTAAACATATATATATATATAAGGATAGTGAGTATGTTCAGTTTCGAATTAAGTAATTCTATTACATTTCAAATATGTATATAAAGTAAAGGGTGACTAATTCTTCATGTAAATTCATTATAAGTAATTCTATTACATTTCAAATATATTTATAAGATAAAGGTTAGCTAATTATTCATCATCATCCATGTCTTCGACATCACGCCCGGCCGGCCGCGTAGAAGCGGATACTAGCTCCTTCAGCTGGTTGATGATGTCTTGCGCTTTCTTGAGCAGCTCACGCATTTTACGACTCCGGGCAGCGGTGGGACTTTGCAGACCTCGAGTACGCCGGATTGTCCGACGGCTAGCATAGCGAGTCCTCTCCCTACGTCGGATCGTTGACGACTTCGCCAGCGTTCGATGTAGCAGCGTGTGGTGCGCCCTACCACACTGATGACAGCTGGCTGGAGAGTCACAGGCACCGGTGACATGGGAGGTAGCCAGGCAGTTTACACAATATTTATGTACTCGGGCTGACTCATGCCTTTCAGCCGGCGTCATGGCGAGAAAAGCTTTACAGTAGCGCAATGAATGGGGGCGGCAACAAAGGCGACATTTGCTGAGCTCCATGGATGCTTCACTTGTCCTATGAAGAAATTAAATTTGAAACCAAACATTAGTTTTTTTTGCGTAAATACGGAGGGAATGGGAGTGAAAATGTTCTGTGGTTAACCACAGAGTCTGTATATTGAGGTATAAAGAAAAGAGAATTTTGAATAAAGTTTGATGCGTTAAGCATCCATTGTGCTGGGTGGAGGTGGTAACAAGCATAATTTTGCGATGTTGCGTGTTATAATTCCCTTTTGGGTACGGATGTCAGCCACGCGAACGTTTTGGTCGGGACCGGGATAGAGCTTAACAATACGTCCGAGGCGCCAATCATTTGGTGGGAGGTTGTCTTCTTTGATGACGACGAGGTCTTCCACTGCGATATTGGGTTCTTTGCCTTTCCACTTATGCCGTTTGTGTAGCTCTTGCAAATATTCAGTTTTCCATCGGGTGCTGAATTGATGGTGAAGTACCTTGAGCTTCTGCCACTTGTTTGGAAGAGACAGGTTTTCTGCGTTAGGTTCTGGCAGAGAGGCAAGTGGTGCTCCTCTTAAGAAGTGACCGGGAGTAAGAGGCTGTAAATCGCTAGGATCTTGAGACAAAGGCGACAGCGGTCTGGAATTGAGTACCGCTTCGATTCGTATGAGCAGTGTGGTGAATTCTTCAAACGTGAATTTGTGATTCCCCGCGACTTTGTTGAAGTGCGTCTTAAAACTTTTAACCGCTGCTTCCCACAGGCCTCCCATATGAGGAGCGTATGGTGGTATAAATTGCCAGGAGAGGCCATGAACGATATATTTTTCAGCGATATCTGAGGCGGCTTCCTTAAGAAAAGTGGAAAGTTCTCGGTGGATTGACCTTTGAGCGCCTACGAAAGTTTTCCCGTTGTCCGACATGATTTTATGGGGGAGACCACGTCGACCAACGAATCTGGCAAAGCAGGCCTTGAAGGCTTCTATTGTCAGGTCTGAGCAGAGTTCTAGATGTATGGCTTTGGTGGAGAAGCAGACAAACACGCATACATATGCTTTTGTGTGTGAGGCGCGACGCAGTAAAGAAGTTTTCACCAGGAATGGGCCCGCGAAGTCTATTCCCGTGGTGTGAAATGGTAGCGAGTAGGTTGCTCGTGCTGGAGGCAAGGCCGCCATTATCTGCGATCGCATTTCTCGCTTGTGTATGGTGCACACCTTGCAGTGGAAAATGCATTTTTTAACTTTCTGCTTAAGTCTTGGGACGTAATACTCTTGTTGTACCATCCGGACCATGAGCTGTTTTCCCGCGTGGAGTAGAGTTGTGTGGAGAAAATCTATGAAGAGAGAAAAGAACTTGGAGTTTTCGGGTATTATGATGGGGTGTCGTTCATTGTAGGTGAGAACGGCGTGCTTAAGGCGGCCGTTTACACGCATTACGCCACTTTTATCTAGCATGGGGTTCAACGATAGCAGCGAGCTTTTTTTATTTACCGGTTTCGCGGCTTCCAGTTGTGCGACCGCCTCTGCGTAATGATTGTGTTGGGCGCATATGATGAGCCGGGTTTTGACGTAACTGATTTCGTCCTGGGTGAGTGTGTGCGTCGTGGGTATTGGTTCCTTTCGTGCGCTGCGGATGAACCGATACACGTAAGCGATTACCCTAAGGGCGCGAGGAAATGACGAGAATCGAGTGAGAGGGTCTTCGTTCTCTATTGTGTGATAAGATTCCACAGATTTTTGTTCAGGGGGAAAGAGCGTTTGAGGCGCATTCTTTGGCCAGCTCGCTGAGGGTTTGGTGAGCCACTGAGGGCCATTCCACCATAGGGAACATGACGCTAGATCTTGTGGCTTGCATCCTCGAGTGCCTAAATCTGCGGGATTGTCTAAGCTCGATACGTGTCTCCATGTGGCGTTATTGACATTCTGCAAGATGAGGGAAGTTCGGTTCGCCACATATGTCTTCCATGTCCATGGTGGTTTTTCTAGCCAGGCCAGCACGATAGAGGAGTCTGACCAGAGTATGAGCTCTTGGGTCGGCAGATTAAGTTGGGATCGAATATGCTTCACAAGTTTGGAGAGAAGGACCGCTCCACACAGTTCCAAGCGAGGCAGACTCACTGTTTGGAGGGGTGCGACTTTACTTTTTGCTACGAGCAAATGAGATGATGCCGAGTTTTCACAGTGTTCCACTCGGAGATAAACGCATGCGCAGAATGCTTTTTCGGATGCGTCTGAGAATCCATGGAGCTGAATGGTTTTATTAGGGGAAAACTGAACCCATCGCGGTATCCGTATTTCGCTGATGGCTATGAGGTTTTCTCGAAATGAAGTCCACTTGCGAAGCGCTCCGGGTTTGACGTTCTCGTCCCAATCGGTACCTTCCATCCAGAGTTGTTGGAGTAAGATTTTCGCCTGGATCATCATTGGCGATAGCCACCCTGCCGGGTCGAAAAGTTTCGCCACGGAGGACAAAATCTGTCTTTTAGTGGCTGCTGTGGAGTCTGGCAGGGGGTCAATAGAGTATGAGAATTCATCGTTGCGTGCATTCCATGTTACGCCGAGAGTTTTTGTTGAACTGGAATCATGGAATTCAAGAAAGTTTGTTTCTAAGAGGTCTGGTTTAGGTATATTTTTGAGTAGATATTTGTGGTTCGCAGTCATTTTTTTTAATGGAAAACCTGCTGATTTTAACGCATCAGTTACCTGGGTCATTGACGTAAGTGCTGAGTCGAGGTCGTGACCCCCAGAGAGTATATCGTCAACGTATATTTCATTTAACAGTATTTCTGTGGCTTTTGGGTATTTGATGCTTGAGTCTTTAGCTAGTTGGTGAAGCGTTCTTATCGCGAGGTATGGCGCGCAATTGACACCAAAGGTAACAGTTTTTAATTTAAAATCTTGTACCGAACTTTGAGGGGTTCTGCGGAAAAGTATCCTTTGGAATTCTTGATCCTCTGGGTGAATGTATATCTGGCGGTACATTTTCTCAATGTCGCCATTGAAAACGTATTTGTACAAACGCCATTTGAGTAGAACGAGCATAAGATCATTTTGGAGTATTGGACCTGTGTGGAGGATGTCATTAAGAGAGATACCTGAATGCGAAAGTTTCGACGCGTTGAAAACTACTCGCACCTTGGTAGTTTTACTATGTGGCTTTATTACTGCGTGGTGGGGTAGGTAGAATGAAAAATATTTGCCTTCACGTATTATTTCTCGGGACGATGTGGGTTCCATGTGACCTAATGTGAGGTATTCTTCAAGGACCTTCGAGTATGTTTGTTGCAGTTCCGGCTTCCTTTCATGCGATCGCTCGATACTGAGATATTGTTGTTGTGCTGCAGGCTTGGAGTGTCCGAGTGCAATCGTGTCCGGGAAAGTAGTTTTAAACGGAAGTTTTACCACGTAACGACCGTCATCTCTGCGAGTTGTGGACTTTTGATAGAGATCTTCACAAAATACATCATCGTCAGTGAGGGATGGGGTTGCTGGTACTTCCTCCTGATCCCAGAACTTCTTGAGCAGATCATTGAGAGAGTTTGTTGTGCTTTCAACTACCTGGGTTGAGAATGATGATACTTGTTCCGTCAGTGGGCCGCTCAAAATCCACCCAAATATTGAGCTTTGGGCTATCAAACTTCCACCGACATTGGTTTTTAGGCCTGGGAGTAACACTTGGGGAATGACATCGCTTCCTAATACCATGTCTATTCGAGCTGGAGTAAAACAGTGGGGGTCTGCTAGGGGGAGGGATGAGTATTCTTGCAGTTCAATATATGTAACTTTGAACGATGGCAAGAAATGAGTAAGTTGCGGGAGTATTATCGCGTTTGTCGTTATTTTCATAGTTGAATCAGCAGAACAAATGGTAATCGGGCAGATTCTGTTCGCATTTTGCAGTACGCGGCCACCCATTCCCATAATTTCATAACTAGTCGCTTTTGTCGGCAGGCCAAGCAGTTTTTGTATGCGAGACGCTATGAATGTTTTCTGAGATCCTTGATCTACAAGAGCTCGAATTTTGAAAATTTCTCCATTATGCAGGATTGAGATTTTTGCGGTAGGAAGTAGGGTTTTTTCTCTACTACTCGCAAAATGTGAGAGAGTTTGTTGAGCTGCCTTTGAGGTTGATGCTTCGTTTGGGTTGCTATTCCCTGGAGATGGGACTCGTGCCTGATTTGTTTTAGACCTGGTGCCTGTATTTGCTGTTGGTGATCTAGCGGGGTAATGGAGAAGAGAGTGATGCCGTTTTTGGCAATAAACGCAGGTAAACTTGCTGTGGCACTCAGTTTCTGAGTGGGAACAGGCCAAACAGTTTTTACAATAGTTGTTGTCTCTTATGAACTTATTGCGTTCTAGAACTGAGAGCTCCTTGAATTTGACACAGGTCATCAGAGAGTGATTTGAGTTGCATAATTTGCAAGATACCTGTTTTTTTAACTCAGTGTTAAATGAGTGAGTTCTGTTTTTATAGCCGAAGGAATGAGTATGATTAGGGGTTGATGAGCGTGGGGTATAATTTGGTGTTGAGGCCTTGGGTTTATTTGGCCTGTACGTACTAAGTCTCTCTACGATTTCATAACGGGTTGTCAGAAATTTATTCATTTCTGACCAGAGGGGTAACTCTTTTCTAGAGTCGAGTGACTGTTCCCATAACGCTAGGGTTTCATCTGGGAGTTTTGAGGAGCAGAGATGTATTAATATGGGGTCCCAGTTTTCTGTGGGTACGCCATTTGATTTCAAAGTCGAGAGGCAATTGTTTATTGTTGTCTGAATTGCCTGAATTTTTTCCCCATTTTCGCTTTGAATGGGCTGAATATTAAAGAGGGTTTTGAGTTGGTTGTCCACAAGGAGTCTGCGATTTTCATAACGGGATTTTAATGCATCCCATGCGAGCTCAAAGTTTTGGTCATTCATCTCATAGTTTTTTATTAAAAGTGCTGCTTTACCTCGGGTTTTTAGCTTTAAGTAGTACAGTTTTTGGGCTTGAGAGAGTTGGGGGTGTTGTTTGTACACTGCTGTGAACATGTCCCTGAAGGACGGCCAATCTTCGTAGCCGCCATAAATGAAATCAGTGTCACAAGCAGGTACTTTTAAGTAGTTTTGAGTTAGGGGTGGGGCTGGGGCTGCTGAAATGGTGGTTGCGCTTGCGCCTATCGCGTTTTGTTGAAGTCTGGGGAGCAGTTGGTTTATTCGGGTCCTAGTATTGTGGCACATATCGATGGCTGCGTCATATTTCGTTTCGTATGCTTTCCTATACTTTTCGTCACTGCAACACATGTGTACAAGCTCGTATGCCTGTTCAACCCATGCTAGGTGTTTGGTGAGTTCCTCCACATAAAGCTTGAGACCGGCTTCCGAGTGATCCGTTTCGTTTATCTTCCACCATTTCGCACAATATTTTTCCAGCTTTGAGATTTCGAAGAGGAATTTTTTTTGAGTTTGGGTCAATTCCTCATCGTCCGTTTGAGATTTTGACCGTGTCTTTACTCCCTGAGGAGGTGCCTGGAGGGATGTGAGTTTTTCCTGTTTTTCTTCCGCCATTATTTAATTTTTTGGGGAAGGAAGTTTATAGGAGAAATTGAGGTAGCTTTGCTGCTATAAATCGATTGAGTGAGATTGAGTTTTCGAGATTTTTTTTCCTCAAGTTTATATTTATTGTGGCTTTTCGTAAAATTTATTGGGAGATGGAGGTTATTTAAGAGGATTAACTCAAATTTTGTACTTGGGATATGCTTAATAAATTTTATTTTGATTTAAAACACTTTAACTTGATTTTATTTGCTAAGTTTTTGGGAATCGGAATTTTACTGCACCACACTGTATTTGCGTTGGTGCGAAAAATTTATAGGGTCACTGTATTGTCGGAGTACAATAGCAATTGTGGACTGTTTTGTTTTGCGCAAAAGCAATAAAATCTATGCGTAAAGATTTGAACAGTCGAAAACAAGCTATGTATTTGCAATGAGTTGTTATGTATTTTCATACATATGTCAGCCACTGTAGTTTGGCGCTTAGATATTAAGGGCTAGGTATGTATGTGCGAGTATGTATACTTAGCGCCTAAATGCTAGTACATACGTACATACGCAAGATAATTTGAGTGACCCACGAAATATTATTTGGAAATAGAATCTAGAATGCTAAAAACAAAGAGCAAGGGAATATGTGTTTGGGGTTTCTCTACTGATTATTATTAGGTATGTACATACATATGTTTGGATGCATCAACATAGATTCGCTCTATGAGAACCGTTGTAGTTTGGCGCGAGTGCATACGTATGTATTAATGTATGTATTTATGTATACAGCGCAGTATTAGTACATATGTATATAGGTAAATGCCCTGACTGACGAAATATTATTCAAAACTGAGTTGGCGTTGCGAAACGGGAATTTTTCCTTTGGTACATGTACCCAGGCGGAAATTTGGGACGTTCACTTGAACAATAGTTTCGTTCACTGAATTTAATAATCATGCATGTATTGTGAGTTGGGGGTAAATTATTTGAATATGTGATGGAGTATATATGTTGTATATTACTGTGCCTTAAGTTTAGCGGATTTTTTCTTCGAGTTGGAGAAAACGGGATATATGTATTTGAATATATGTCTACATATATATGTAGATATACAATATATTTATAATATACTGTGTTTAAAGAGTGCACGGTATTTGTCTACGGTAAATGAAAAAGGGGTAATTCATTTCACCGTATTTTTTACGAAAATCCGCTAAACCTTGCAAAAATATGCGTATATGTAAGTATGTATGTTTGAGTAACTCACTTTGGCATTCCTATGTACAAACTCTTTTTTTTCGTGTGGTGGTCTACTGTACCGGTGACTGGCCTGCTGCTATGCGGTACCTTCCGTCGCTACTGCGCCCAAGTTTCCGTCTGCCTGTTGTTGTTGTTGTTTCGGTTGCTGGTGGTGCTCCGCTACAGCTGTCTCAACAGGTGCTTCGGTGGCTGGCTGCTGCGCTGGACGATGGTAGCTGATGCGGTGGAAGATGGTTGCTGTTATTTTGCACCACTATAACAATTTTTTTCTTTTTGTTTGCGAATTTATGTTCTTCTTAGCACTTTGTTTTTGTTCGCCACTACTTGTTTCACTGTTTTCTCTGTTTATGTGTTTTTCAATGTTCAATTTTTGATTTTGCAATTAATGTTTATTAAATGTTTTCAGTTTTCGGTTTTTTTATTTCACCTTTCACTGTTTATTGTTGTGGAATGATTTATTTAATTTGATTTAATTTTTTTTAACGCACCGCGCGCCGCTCGCAATCGAATAAACTTTTTCGTTTTTTTCGGGTAGAAAAAAATGTATGGCGATACTCCAGCTTTGTTTAGAGTGCTTTGCGCGTTAAGTGCTGCCAATTCTTTTTGATGGCGCGTAAGGACCATATGTTGCTCTTTAGCAACGTAAAAGGGTGTGTTTGAGTATATTTAATTGAATAAGTAAAGCAAAATTTAAGGTAATACAAATTATTCCGAGTTTATTCAAAAATGGGAAAATATAGTGGACTGTAGGTTAAATTGAATTTAATAAACTGGTCTAGTCGACGATTCGATTGCGAGTGCTCCGTTGCCGGTGTACGGGTGCCGAGAGCTCACATTCGGAAAAAGTACATATTTGAATTCTAGTACAGTTTTAAACATATATATATATATATAAGGATAGTGAGTATGTTCAGTTTCGAATTAAGTAATTCTATTACATTTCAAATATGTATATAAAGTAAAGGGTGACTAATTCTTCATGTAAATTCATTATAAGTAATTCTATTACATTTCAAATATATTTATAAGATAAAGGTTAGCTAATTATTCATCATCATCCATGTCTTCGACAAACCCATTTCAAGTGCTACCCATATTTTAATGATTTCTGTAACTTATTAAATAACTTGAATTTAACTTTTTAAACAGGTGGCAGCCCTCCTAAATATTCTTACTGCTCAAGCTAAATATTTCCCAATTATCTTTCGTTTGGCGCCCCTATTTTCATATTTCATACAGTAACTTATGCATAATTAAAATAATTAGAATTTTTAAACAGATGGCAACACTGTAAAAATATTTCCAAATCAAAACCTGGTTAAAACTTTTTCGTGCGACACCCAAATAAACATATTAAAATTATCTAGTTCCCTTAATTCAAGTTGCACTTAAATTTTAAAACGGGTGGCAACCCTGCTCATATGTTTTGGGAATAAAGTTCCTTCAAAGCCATTTGGTTAATATCCATATTGAAGTGATTAATTTAACCTATTGCATACATCGAAGGTGGCAACCTTCTTAAAATTATTTTTAAACTAAAACTTCTGACACCCGTAGTGTGTTTCATATTTAAATAATCCGACTCCCTTAATTCAAGTTGAAATTAAATTTAAAAACGTTGACACCCTCCAACATAAAATTTCGAATCAAAATATCTTCAAAATAGTTTTGATTGATATCCATTTAGAAGTAGTTATTTAAACTATGGCATCTGTAAACCGGTAGCAAACTTCTTTAAAATATTTTTGAACAGAACCCTTGTCTTATTCGTCTGACATACGCATTGTAATACATATTTAAATTATCTAATTCCCTTAATTCAAGTTGCATTTAAATTTTACTTTGGGTGGCATTCCTGCTACATGTGTTTTGGGCATAAAGCTTCTTGATTAATATTTTTATAGAAGTAAGTTATTTAACCTATTGCATACATTGAATTCAATTTTGTAAACAGGTGTCAACCCTCTTCAAAATATTTCGAAACCACATCCCATTTCGTGTAGGAACCATATCGGGATCCATATTTAAATTTTCTAATTGTCTTTATTCAAGTTAAGCTTGATTTTTTAAGTGGGTGGCAACGTTCCTAGCTGCAGTTAGAAACTACGGTTTTTGAATGCCTTTTTGATTGACATCCACAATGCAGTAATTCATTTAACCTCTGATCATGGTAACCCTGTTCAAATTATTTTAAATTTAAAACCTTTTTAAACCTTTTTCGTTCGACACCCGATTGTGATACTTATTTAAATAATCTCACTCTCTTAATTCAAGCTGAATTTAATTTTTAAATGAGGTGGCAACTCCCCTACATGTAGTTTGGAAATAAGTTTTTTCAAATCCATTTTAATTGATTTCTATCCATATTTTAGTATTTTATTTAACCTATTTTATTTATCGAATTTAACTTTGTAAACTGGTGGCAACCATCCTACATATAACTAAGAAATAAAGCCTTTCAAAACCATTTCGATCGATACCCATATTGCTATAATTGATTTTACTTATAAATAATTTGAAACAAATTTTTTTGTCAGGTGGCAACTCTTTTTGAAAAAATAAGACGTTATTGCACATCTACAGGCCAACCCCTCTAAATTGATACCTCATTTGGTAAAATCGAACGACCTGTTTCGTGTGTTATGCATTCATATGTACTTACATAGGTACATGTGTACATGGATTACTGAAGGAGAAATAGATTTACATTAAGTGCAATCAACTTATGCACGGTTGCATGTGCATACATATGCCGCGATTAGGTTATAAATATTTCCCCGGAGCGGCGACATCTGTTACTCAAAAGCCGAAATATAAACACATAATTTTTGTCTCCTTCTCTCACTTCCAGCGCAGGCACGTGTTTTCAAAATGATGAGAAGGTGATTTTGTATGGAAAATCATTTATGCCCATATATTTGAAACAAATAAACGTACTTATAAGATATCAACCAATACTTCCCATATACCCAACGAGAGGAAAAACTTGGGGTTTTTACCAGAGAAAACAAAAACAAAATCATTCGAGCGGTTTTCGAGCATTTTGCTAATATTTTCGAAATTTTTAGCCCTAAATTGCCAGATTTTGGTCGCATTTATATAAATTTTGTACCCAATAATATTTGTTTTGCTCTAAAGAATTTATATTCCGCAAATGAAAGTAATATCTGCAAAAAAGTTGCTAGAGTACTTTAAAGGCTCAAAAATTGTTGTTTCTACGAAAGAAACCGCCCTTATGACTCACAAAAATAAATCCGGTTTGGAATTTTATATTTAAAACGCCACATTATGCTTTCAAATCGGTTCATTAGTACTCGTGCAATAAGCGTTTTCGTGAAGCTCTAAAAGCTACACCTACAAAATTTAAGCATGATGGATGCCATGCTCGAAACGTAAGACGTATTCTACATCAATAAAGGGCCATTCACATACAACTTTCCTCGCTTTGCTTGACAGTTCAAACTTTGACAACAAAGCGTGAAACGCAGAAGGTATGCTACAATAACGCTTTGACAGCTTTTGCGTTCTCCTTTTCCTCCATATATTTTCTCTGTAAAATAGATAACAATATAATAATATGCATTAAAAATAGCAATAAAAATTCCTATTTACTCTATTTTTGTCATTAAATGCAAATGCAAGCGCATGAGAAAAGATACATAGAGACAGCTGATTGCCAAAGCGGGCAAAAGTTGAGAGTTGCCCAAGATTTTGCTTCGCTTTGCTTTGCTTTGCTTCAAACGTTTTTTATATGAGCATACTCATGCATATGCCTACATCGATCTTATATGTCAAAGCAAAGAACTATCAAGTAAAGCGAAGAAAGTTGTATATGAATCAGCCTTAAGCGTCTGTGTTTATTAAAAACCAGTGTAATAGAAAAATCAGCACCATAAGAACTTTATATTTATTAGTATCTGTAAGGTTTTATAACTATTCTGTAAAGCAACAAAAATGTTAGGTAGCGATATCAATTAAATTCGCATTTTTCGTTGAGATTTTGCTTCCTCGCCTTTTGAAGTGAAAAAGTTCACGATTTTTCAGCAGTTAGTGAGTTCAAGGCTCTAAATTGCATAAATAATGAACCACTTTAGTGTTGATTAGCTTCCCTTGTGCGCTTAAAATAGCAAATACAAATGCATTTATAATTAAGCTTTACTACAAAAAAATATTTGTTTGATTTGGAGGTATTAAATCTACATAAAGCTGTGCCACTGGGAATTCGAGTTAACCAAAACCATACATACATGTGTACATAAATAAATTGTAAATTTTGTGGCTTATTTTAATTGCACGTTGTTTGCATGATAGTTTAGTTGATTTTGGCAATAAAAGCATTTAATTAATAATACAAATTTTCAGCAGCCAAAATTGAAAGTAAACACATAGATTTGCGTGTATCAGTTTACATAAATCATGAATGATTGATGTGAATTTGCGAGAATTTCGGGCAAAGTAGTAGTTAATTTTTTTGCAATTGACTCGATAACAAAAGCACCGATAACTAAAGCGCCAGCGGGCAACTAAACACTTGTATCGCATTGTTTTAGCAATAAATTTTGCAGTTATTTAAATGTCAGCGGATAACAAATGATTGCAAATGTAATGCGTTAATAAAAGCGATTAAGGGGTGAAGAACTTAATTGCGGGAGAATAATTAGGGAAGGGGTAATTTTGAAGAATTGTGCTGAGATTAGGCCAATGAATGAAATTTTTTGAAATTTCAGAAAAATGCCTTAGATTGTGGTTTGCTGAGTTGGAGGGTGGTCATGAAAGCGGTCACAAAATTAGTTAAGGAAGTGAATAGAAAAAGGTTTCAGTAGTTATTTTTTCATAATTTTGTATAAAACCTCTTTAAAACGTCACTTGCAGCCATTAGAGGAAGCCTTTAACGGCGATTTGGTGCATGGCGGAATGCAAGCACAAGCACTCAGCGTGTGAGCAAATTTTAATTAAAGTTAATATTAGTTGTGTATAAGTACTCGCGCATAGTAAGGCTTGTATTTATCCACTCAGTCACACTCATAAGCAGCTTTTCAGTGACGCTTACATGAAGTGTGCTGTGTGGATAAATGCATTGACGTTTGTAGAAATTTTTGATACTTTTGCAATTGCGACGGCTGACGACGACTGGTGTTACTTAGACAAACACAAATACAAAAATACATATTAGTGTGTTCCATTCGATTTCTAGACAGACTAGGAAATTTATATATTTTCTAAGAATTCATCCAATTAAGCATACGTAATTCGCCTCACAATAGGTCGTTCCTTAAAAAAACTTCGCAATCAACGTCCACTGATAGTAAAAGAGTTATTTTTATTAACTTACCCCTTATCTTAAGGAAAAAAACCGCATTTTTACCATAGCTTCTCAGATGTTGCTCAGGAACCCAATGTACTGTTGGACCGAGAAATATATGGAAAATTCCGAACAGATCCGAATAAAATTTGAAGAGTTAGGAAAAATCCTACAACAATTCAAAAACGCGCTCAAACAGTCCCTAAAAATTTATACAATTTTTTTTTATTAAAACGTACCTCGAAACTCTCATTAAATTCAGAAAATTTCCGAATAAATTGGAAGGTTATGAAGATTCCTGAACGCACCCGAAAAAATCCGATAATTCCAAAAATATGCCCAGAAAAAGAGGAATATTATCAAAAAAAGTTAAAAGGTCAAGGATCTCGTCCAGAGAAGCGTCCATTTTTGGCTGAATGTTGAATTTGATTAATACACCGCCCGAACAAAGTATTGGCACAGCAAATTTTTCATAATATATGCAACAATTTTTATTCTAATATTTTTTTGCCAATTTCGTATAAAAATATGGTTTATTCAACAACAAAAAACACAAAAATATAATTCCTAAGCTTTGTGCGATACTCGCGAAAATTCAGCAAATTTTCATCAAAATTTTCAACTTTTTAATCAGATTTTTGACAATTTTTTTGAGTATGCAGTTTTGCAGCCCATTAAGTTCTAGTAAGTTAGGAGTTAGTCAAAAATCGTGTTGATTTTTGAGAACTTTTTTTGTCGAAGGTGTTTTGCATTTTTTCCATATA